AAAAAAAAAGAAAGGAGGCGTCTGAGCTCATGCGGGACCCGGCAGATACTGTCTAAAATACTGCCGTGATGAAACGCAAGATCATGATATCAAGGATTATCTCTGAAACAGTATGGAGCTCAAAAGCTTTCTCTCTTGCCGGTTATACCACAAGGTGAGTTCCTTTTTATATCCAGCTTCTTCACACACATGCTCTCCAGTACAGGTTAGCTCTGAGTGTTAGCGATGCTATTGTAAACACCGACCATATTACATCCAAAACAGTCGGGCATTGTTTCTGATGGCAACTTTCTGATAGTGCCGTTGGTCCACATTTCCGATATTACGTCATATCGGACGCAAATCTGGATCTTTTCCGTTGTACCCCCGTTTTTAGAGATTTGGGTACGGAGGAAAAGAGAGAGGGTTTTATTTTCTGACGCTGCCTGAGTTCCCTAACACACCAGGGACACATCTTTATGTATAAAAGACATCAAAAAGTGCATTTTGCATGATAGGTCCCCTTTAAAAGCTATTGCTGACTGCCAATTGATCACTAAATGAAGGCAGGTATTAAACATTAAAAAGTAATCCTCCCGCTTATAATTCACACGAATGTCTTACCAATGTCTTGAGGTCGACATGGCGACGAGGCCCAAGGCGAGGCGAACTTAGGGTACAAGTTTCTGTCAGGAAAGAAAGCTGATGTGAGTTATTGACACTGGACATTGAAACGGAACAATTTCTAGACATTTTTCATATAAAACAGATATATTGGAAATAAAGTAAGTGAAGGTTATGATAAATGTTATTTTTGGGACAAGAACGTTTAAAGAAGTCATGCATAGAGCCAATTAAGAGCCAAATATGTCCCACTGTCCAAAATGGCATGTCAGCTTAAATAAAGAGGGGTTAGGGTTAAACTAAGATTTATTCCGTGAAAAGAAAACTTCATGCAATTACAACCATGGAAACCCTGTGTATTCATCATGTTTTATAGGTTATGGAACATTTAAATGGGCTGTGGTGTTTCATGATGGGGTTTTTGGACTAGTTCGAATCATTTCTAGGCCATACACCTGGTGGCTAAAAAAAACTTAAATGTGACTGTATCGAGGGTAGAACCTCTGTCTTACTCTGGTGAGTTTAAGTTGAGTCCCAGTGTCGTGAGGTCACTTCCTAGCGCTAGATGGACCATCCCCGGATCAGTCTCTGCCGCCCGGATAAACGTCAGCAGGCCAATCATGCCGAATTGGTCCGTCACCATTCCTGAGGGAATATTCGTCACCCGACCTGCAGCAGCCGGATAATTCAGAGTTCAACAAAGCGCTGGGCTGCGGACTACACTTAATACTTACTGTCAAATACATTACCTCCATATATAAAACCCACACTTTGTGCACGTATTGGAGAGCAAACCAAGCCAATTGTTTTTTCTTAACATGTAATGGTCACAGACAGACTAATGGAAGGATGATAATGGTCTGTACCATTTTGAACATATTCTTTGTGGTTTCCTCACTGCAGCCTATCCAATAATTATCTAACCCCAAATGCAGGGTAGAGAGCCCAACTGCCTCACCCAAGTTGTGCGATTAAGAAGGGATGTCTCAGTGGAATTGGAGCGATACGATTGGCTGAGGAGTCTCACCATCGGGCAACACCTGGATCCCTTTCTTCTGGTTGTTGTTCTGTGCTGAGGTCGTCTTGTCTCCCGGGAACTTCGGTCCATCTGCATTCGATATGCTCTTGGTTACGGAGTTCAAGTTCTAAAATCAAAGAAAAACAGTTATAAAAATAAAAAAAGAACAATATTTTTTTAAAACGCATGATGATTAACAGACATCCTTCCAGATTGTGCTTCAGACCACCAGTCGCTCACACTTACAGTTTTGGCGTCATCGTTGCTCAACGAGGGGTCCTTATAGTTCGGGCCAGGCAGTGCAGGGAAGTCCTCGTTGTGGATGGAGAAATCCTGCGTCTGTTCTGTTGAAGCCTTTGTCACCATGCCAACTTGATGATGGACACAGTGAAGCAGAGATTATAATTCCCCGAAATGTAATGAGCAATTAATCACAACAAAAAGGTCATCACAAGCTATTCTGTGGATGTGCATTAAAGCAAAGCCTTGGCTAGTATTATCAACCCAATCAAGGAGCTAATATCTATTTCCTTTCCTAGGGGAACCTACTTCCTATAGCTTTATGTGTGTAACAGTAAGACACTTTCTGCGGCCTAATGGCCTACCATAAGGAGCCCGTCCAGCCAGTGGGTTGAGCACCGGTGTTGGGTTTCCCGTCCCTTCTCTCCGACTCCTGTCTGCTAACGCAGGGAAGTCTGACAGATCCAGTCCCGTTACATTTTCACTCCCATCTGCAGTAATAGGAAGGTTAGGAACTTGTAATGTCACCTTCAACTCTATGTAACTACTTGAGATTGTAATTGTATTAATAAATAGCCCACCCTCCCCTGAGTAATAACTGCTGACTAAACCAAACAGCTCATTTGTACAATAGTTACCTACCGTCAGTTTCAGCAGTCAAAGATTAACTTACATTATGTCCAGAAAATCAATGTATTTTCACTAACAAATACCAAAGTTTGATTCTAACTCTGGCCTCGCGCTGCCGGCACTTAAAAGCAGTTGTGCCTCTTGCTTAGAGAAGACACTGTAACTTTATTTTACAGTGAACCAGGTGATCACATCAACGGTCCTGAAGCTCCTCCAGCAAGGTGTGTTTATGTATGTAATCCTCACTTTGTTTTAATGTATTCAATTTAAACCACAGAAGTTTTTGCTTGAATAAAAACCCCAAACTAATGATCCTTTGGTATACCCACCTGAGGTAAACACACTAACCTGTGCCATTGAAGATGCTGCTCGATAACGAGTTGGGCATCCCAAAAGCCTGATTTCGATTCATACCAAACCCCGACATGCTGCACAGATGAAAGAAAACAAAACAAAGCATGAGCTTCAAAAACAGAACCTTCCTTAAAATCAAAAAACATGTATATTATAAACTGTAGGGAACAAAAAGAACCGCAGATCACTACAAAGACCCGTCTACCTGTTTATGGTGAAGGGCTGGCGCGCTGGCTGCTGTTTGGGCATACAGATGATACTTGGCGAGCTTCGGTTCGGACTGCCCAGCCCGGAGCTGCTCATACTATTGGTCCTGCCGCTCATCCCAATACTTTGACCGACCTGAGAGTGGTTTAGCATGTTTCTCGTGTTCATTGGCAACGACCCCCTGTTAAAACATCAACAGGTCAGATTTAGAGCTCACGTCATGTGATTTGCCGTTCTATTTCCAGGTTATTATTTATTGTTATAAGCCACACAAGTTTGAATCCAAACTCAGTTATCAAACTCACAAAAAAGTGAGCACTTTTATACTAACCTGCTTGGTGATGGAGGGGTATGGAGGGACATGGTAGGGACCCCCGTCGTGGGGGTGATATGACTTGGTAACTGCGAGCCTTGCGTTAGATTTCGGTTTAACTGAGGCGTACTATTCCCCATGCCTCTTACTGAGAAGCCGAGTGCACCTTCAGAAAAACAGGGAGAGAAACAAATACTGTCAGACCCATCAGACAAGATGTCTCTGCAATGTGTCCTGCATTCAAATGCAAGTAGGTTTTAAGGTTTAATAAGTCTTCCTGAGCTAAACTGGAATGATGCAAATATGCTATGAGAAAAATGATTTGTGAGTGTAAAGGAAAAAACAACACTTACTTTGTGGACCGTACAAACTCGCACCAAGCTGCGACAGCTGACCCGACGACGATGGCGAGGGAGACGACAGCATCTGAAGGAAAACATTTGAGGACTAGAAAGAGTAAGATAACTAGAAAACATCTCCAATGGTGTCAACACTTGAAATGAGAGAAGTTTGTGAATAATGGCAAAACTCACATCTTTGTCCGACCGATGTGGGAACATCGACTGCTGGCTGTAGTACATGCTTTCGTCCGAGAAGTCATTATCGACTACCTCAACGAACTCGACAAATTTCTTTCTAGCACCAAACATGCCTTATGTCACCTGAAGAGGGAGAGAGAGCAGAGCTGTTGTCAAAGATTTGCGAGGGAAGGAAGTATGGTCATGGGCCAAAAACTGTACAAACAAAAATACAATGTTTCAGTAAATTGACAATTATAATCTAAATACACCAATTCCACTTCAAAACATCAAGTTAAAAGCATCTATGTTGTTTTTATAACAGTAGACAACCTATCATCTGGATGTTCCAACACTTTACTGATATTATCAACTTTTATAAACAAAGGACACGGTTTTTCATGAGTGCACATTTTAATCAAATTCAACTTTCTGAATGCATCATTTATTTTCATTTTTTCCATAAATCCCTTTAACACGTTTTGCATCTTGTGGATGTTTAATAAAAAGTTTTGAACAGTATGTGTGTATACTTTTGACTGATGTAAACGCATTAAGGAAGAACATTACGATATTCCATAAGAACACACTTTTCATCTCATCTGAAACATGTATTAAATAAGCTGGCAGCTCAATTATTTTCCTTCCTTAACTACTATGCTGAATGATGATTTCCAAATAGATTAGTTACCTAATTTGACACTGTTGAGAAATGTACCAGCAGCAAGGCTAACATGCTAGTTAGCCAACTCCAGTGTAGTTAGCAAGCTAAGTGCTTGTAATCAATCTGTGTTAGCTTAGCAAGCGGGCTGCCTTAACAAGGAGCCAAGTACCACAACATAACGAAACATTTCACACCAACACACAGCGACTTGTCTACCAAGCAGCGAGCACTATAAGGCAGTAATGTGGGCCTTTTCTGCCTACATATAGCCAGTCAGCTGTGCTTTTTCTCGGCACAGTTTACGCTCCGTTTGCAGCAGCAGCAGCTACAATCTGCTTAAGCTAAAGGCTAACGATTCGGTCTGTATCCAAACCTGGGAAAACAGCGACGGAAATCGCTTATACAGAAGGCCTAATTATGACCCAAACTGTGTTAATATGACTACAAATAAGTAAAATATCCTCACCGCATCAATTTCCCTTCTCTACGTTAGATCCAAGATGGCTGTGTGTATTCACAATCGAAAGAATGATAGCCTTTACCCTCTGACCTTACAACCGGCTGACCACTTCCGTACACAAATCTGAAAATATGAGAAAGTGCACTCCGTTAGTCCCACAGTGACTAAACAGACACCAAGAACTGAACAAAACAAAACACATAGAAAAGTGTTTGCTTTTAGCAGGGAATATAAATAAGACACCGCCGTCTCTACCTCCTTCCTGTGATCATAATAACGTGTCTTTGCATTACAATACTGTGAAGCTGCATTCAATACAGACATAATATGCCTCTTTTATTAACATTGTCAGAATATCCAGATAAAATATGTTTGGTCAACTGTGTTCCTCAAGATATTGGCATTAGATTCCGATTTCAAGCAGTTTTTTCTCAGGGCCTACCAACCAGGCAAATTGTCCACCAGGGGACCCTAAAGTTCCCTTCATTACTTTGTATTAACTTGTTTTCTAGTAAGTACTTCTAAAACCCAATAAGCATTTTTTGCTACATATTTCCCCTGACAGGTTAATTAGCAAGATCCTCAATTATTGAGTTGTTATTATACATATCCTTTTGTTGCAACATTTGAATTAGAGTGACCATGTATTGCTGCCTCTTAGCTTTTAAGTAGGTATGATTAAACCTGAAGGCTCATGGACCTTTTTTTCCACCATAAATGTGGACTGGTTATGGCAGAAAAAGCAGGTCGAAGATAGAATTAATAAAGACAAAGGGAAATTAATAAGACATGTGCTCCTCCGGCTATTACATATAACATTTCTGGCACAAAAAAGGTTTACTAGCGTAGTTACATTGTTATTTCTGTGTACTTGGTATGGGTTGCACTGTTGCCTGCTTGAGGCGCCCACGCAGTGGATAAGGGGAAGGACAAGTGCTAAAAACAGTCTGTCAGTGAGTTAAAACAGACAAGGGCCAAGCAGTGTACCCTTCTGATAAGGAAAATAAAATTCCTTCTCAGTATTATCTATTTGGAAAATAGCCCTAATGAAGGTATGCAACATAGCATAGTAAATCACACCTCAGGCAGTGCAGGAGTAAACCCTGCTCCAGGAAAGCTAAATAGGACATTATATTGGGCTTTAATGCCTACATTGAAAACTGAAATATGAGCACCTGCATTCGGAGGGGTATGGCACTGATGTCTTCACTCAACAATGATTGCACAGTTGATGTTCAAACAGATGAAATGTGGCACTGACAAAACACAGACCTGCAGAGCCATGCACCCTCCACCACACCTCACTACACCTTTCAGTTTTCATGGGGACCTGTAAATTAATTTCCCTTCCCTTCAAAAACACCAAATCATTTACTTCAATTGAGGTCAGAGTAAAACACAAAAAACTCTCTCCCTGTGAACATTGACAAATTCTTGAAATTATTCCACATTACAGGCCCACTTGTCTGGCCCAGTGGAATAGACCCAAAACTGCGTCTGGGCCAGATTATAACATCATGTAAATGACCTTCGCTGCTCTTTCATCACAACGCATGGTTGCTTGTACCCTGCCCCTCCCTTTGTCTCCCTCTCCCACCTCTGTCATCTCAGAGAAGAAGGGGGGAAAGTCATTAGGCACAAATGGGGAGGAGAGAGTAGCTAGTGGTTGCTATCGCCATGAAAGTCAGGGCAAAGCTCAGAGCCACTGAGCGATATGAGAGGACTACACTGGGGAATATCTGCCCTGGGAAAATAATGTTTTCAGCCCATTAAGTTGGATAAACAAATGGCTTACTGTAGGTGCTGAAAGGCGTGGACACCAGCAGGAAAACAGTGGAAAGTAAGTGTTTTTAATTGTCATACGATCATCTTTACGCTTAATATGGTCTCTGTTTCCTTGCTGATGGTTGTTTTCTTTGTTATTTTCATGGCTTCTCTCACATGCAATGGTGTACTTCAACGTCATAATCAAGTTATTTCTGATACATGCAGTCTCATATGCTAATGCAGTACAACAAAGATGCATTACATTGTTGCAACTTTGTTTTGTTTCTCTCAAGATCAATAACTCCAGAAGGGCGGTGGAGCAGCATTAATGGGATGCCATGATATTTACTTGAAGACGCCAACTGCCTACCTCAGTGAAACCCTTTGTCTGGCACTAAATTGATGAGGAGGACCAGTGGTGTTTCAGAGGCTGGTAGAGATGGGTAATGCCATGCGGAGCGTAGTTGCGTTCATTCCCTCAGAGCGCTGTCAACGCTTCTTGGTGGGGGACCTGAAGGAGATGCCACTTGATCGGACCCTGGACCTCAGCAGCCGGCAGTTGCGTCGGCTACCTGTTGCTGCCTGTGTTTTCGGTGAGCTGGTAAAGCTCTACCTGAGTGATAACAATCTCAGCAGTTTACCAGCTGATCTGCAGGGCCTGAAGAAGCTGCAGCTCCTTGCCCTCGACTTCAACTGCTTTGAAGAGCTCCCTGCAGCTGTTTGCAGACTGCCTCAGCTGAGCATCCTTTACCTGGGCAACAACAGGCTCTACAGTCTCCCCAGAGAACTAAGAGAACTCACAGAGCTTAATACTCTGTGGCTGGAGACTAATTGCTTCACTGTTTTCCCTCAGGTGATTTGTGAGCTCCCTAATCTCAAGACCCTGCACCTTGGTTATAACCAGATACAGAGTTTACCAAGAGAGCTTGGGGTGCTGGAAGAGCTGAGAAGTGTCTGGATTGCTGGGAATCAGCTGGCAGCGTTCCCACCAGTGTTGCTGGAAATGCACTTTCTAGCCGTCATTGATGTTGATCGGAACCAAATACGCTACTTCCCCTGCCTGTCTCACATGCTGGGGTTGAAACTTGTCATCTATGACCACAACCCCTGCGTTAACGCCCCGGTGGTGGGCGAGGGATGCAGGAGAGTCGGGCGCTGGGCAGACAGCTCAGATGATGAGCAGGAAGATGATGGGTCAAAAGCAGCAGGTGACACTACATTAGAGGTCACAGAGGTACACCATGAGGAGGAGCACAACATTTAGGGTCAACGAACAAAGTGACTTGAAGCTGTGACGAGGCGTGGGTGACATTCAAGTGGAACACTTGACGCTAAGTGGTGTGTTGTACACAAGGCTGATGGCATGTGGTCTATATATGGTAAAGGAAAGTCGTTGTAAAAACCATGTAGGTCAAAGGGGATTTTTGATAATGATTCTATAAAATGTTGGGGCCTTATTTGAATTAGCAAAACTCTGTAAATGGATTCAATGAAAGCTTCAGTGACATTGGAAATGTAACACCAACATCAGATGTTCTGTAATTCAAACATTTATTTTATCTTGTGGTATTAAACATATATCTTGTGATCTTTCCAAGTTGTGTACGATGAATCCATCAGAACTGGCATTTGTACAGTATGTCGACTTGATCAACTGTGCAAAAGACTTCTGTTAAATTGACAGCGCAGTTGGTCGGTATGGCAGAGATGGTGGAAATAGAAAGGATTCGTTACACTCGTCTTGTTGAATCTGAGTATGAGATGATATCTGTACCTATACTGAGGCCAAATACAGTGAGGTTTTTAATACAAGTGATGGATGGTTTTAATACAATTAGTGCACTCCTTATCCAGACCAATGCATAATTCATCGGATAGATTGGGGCTGTGGCTTTGAATAAAGGCTGCTAATGGGCTTCAATATCTTCAGCATGAGGTTCAGATTTGAAACAGATCGTAAATGCACTTTTCCAATTCCTCAGCATACCAGGAAAATCTTCTGCTAACAACATGAAATGTCATCCCACAATGTATCATTCCAGGGATTTGGAATGCTTCTTAACGAAGTGTAGGAAAATAAATTAAAAAAGGTTGCACACCAGCCCTTTTCCTGGAAACGGGATTATTTCTCACAGCATGAACACACTAAACTACTGTAAATTGAATGAAAGAACTATTCTATTTCTCTGCATGTAATCCTAGAGGTTCTACGAACATGACATAATTCTAAGTTATACAAATGCTATTCAGTGTGTGTAAAATGTACAAATCTCGATACTGTTACAGTGCCCCCTAGCATGCCTAAATTCAAAGACGTCACTAAATGTGGATTTTACAGTACTCTCTGGCTCTGGGTGTGACTAATAACTGGGCGCAGCGAGGGGCACTGTAAAATCAAAAATGGTGTTTTCATCAATGTGTGTTAATATCAAACTTGATCAATTCTCAATTATCTTTTATAAATTGTCAATTGACAAGATTAGTCAAAACACTTACTGATTATTAACCTATTGAGGATTTTATCAGCATGATATGAAAACATATTTTTAAGGTTTGCCTTATTCTATTATGTTCAAAAGAAAGGACTTTATCGTATTTGTATATGTGGTGTTTGGAGTAAGGAAATCTTTAATTATTGTTCGATAACCAAAATTCGATAATTCAAAGATAACTTTGTTTTAGTCATTGTCATGTACACTTTAACAAAATAATGAAGTGTATTATTATTATCCATTTTGTTTGAAAAAACGGTTACTGTTTTAAAAAATATTCTGATTTATTAACCTATACATTATCAATATACACTTCTATGAGAGTAATATAACTAATGTTTTTATATGGTTGTCAGATTTGGGTTTCTAAATCTTAAATAGTATACAATCTCATTCCTTGTAGGACTTTAATATGTTGCCACCACTGTTAAAGCACAAAAATGCAAAGATATTTGCAAAAACAAAGTAATATTTTGAAGCGGCTTTATTGTTTGACAGGAATGTCACCCAAACATAAACAAAAAGTTCATTTTTGATTGTTCAACACATGCACGTAGAGACAGTATAACTTTAGGTCATTTGCAAGAATATTACTCATGGCACAATCCAAATGTACTTACTATGATTACATCATATTTTACAATATATTTGGATCCGAACCCTGTGTAAACACAACTTAACTGAACTCAAACTCTTGAATACATTTTTGCTTTAACCATAAACCTCCATGTGTTAAACACCTTTACTTTATAGCTCTCACAACCAGTATTTCAACAAAGTAACATCACATACTTTTCCTTAATATTAAATACAAACATGGTTAATTGACAGACATATATTACTTAAAAGATCCATCTTACATTTCTTGGTGATTTGTCGTTATAAACAAATAAACAAATCCCGACTCGAAATTGCAAAGTTTCAACTGCACTGTAACATATACTGGATAGAGAGGAATGATGATGATGCAATGGACACCAAGTAAAAGCGTTGAAACGTTCACTTCATATGCTGTGGCTGTAAATCCACCGTATTTACTGACACAAAATGCCTCTTTTTGCAAGCTTAAAATGTATATTGAATCACAACATGTTCTTTATTTACCTCAAGCCAGAAGCATTGCACATATTTCCTTTATGGGATAATTTTCCAAATCTAATTGGTCTGAGAGAGCCTCGGTGAATCACAAGGCTTGGTTTTGTGGTTTCTCTAAAAGGGTGTGCAACATTCTTTCATTCATTCAACCATTTTAAACTTCCATTTCAAGTACGCTGAAGCTACATTAGAACCCTGTCTACTGATATTTGACCTGGTAATACAGAGAGTGCGTACAGGCATAGAAGCAGTAAAACATGGGCAGGTTCAACTAACTTTAAAAGGGTGTATTACAATATTTGTGGAACAACTGAATAGTAATGCCACATTCCTGTAGGCATTACAATGGAATGTGGTATATCCTGCTATAGGCTTCATGAAAAGAAAGATGGAAAAACCCAAGACTTGATAAGTGCTGTACACAATAAGCAGAAAGAAATGAGAAGAGCTCAAAGTTGCAATGAGGTAAAGTCTTCTCAACACGAGATAATAAGCATTAGTTTGTTAGCTAAAACAACACAGGTATTTAGTTATCATGCATCTGCATCCATGCCGATTCATCAGTGGGTTTGCTGAAGAGTGATGCAAAATGGAGCGTATACTATTGGTGCTTAGGTTGTCTGCAGCGGCGTGGGTCACAGGCTCATCCAGGGCCCGGTTCTCTGTCGCAGGGTGTTCTCACCCTGGGAAGGCAGCTGGCATCCCTCCAACCCGTCTGAGCCGTCTTCCCCCGTGGGCACCAAAGAGTCATGAGACCCTTCCTCTGACTCTTCCTCCTTGGTGTCCGGTGCATCAGACCCTGAGGCATCTGGGATTTCTGGGGGCTCCTTTGACGATGCTTCCACCACCGTGTCATTTCCCTGAAAATCAGAGGCCTCGTTCACAGAACCAATCACTTGGGGAGAACAGAGGTCCTTCTGTGAATTTTCCTTATCCATGCGCTTCCGGGCCTCCTCTCTCCTCTGCTGGATTCGGGTGTTGTCCCCCATCATAACCCTTACTCTAACTTGGTCTGGAGGCCAGATCCCCCCCCAGATAAACTGCAGGTAGCTGAACAGCACAATGGCACTGAGGAAGGCAAAGTTGGTGGCCACGCCGATGACTGCAGATGTCAGGGGGAAGTTGTACAGAACATATCTTATACCAGTGAAGAAAGCATGGATACGGAGTTGAGATGAGTAGATCTGCACTCGTTTGGACTGGATCTCAATGACTGCACCAACAGAGGGTTGATAAGCGTTTGTCTTGTAGTCTGAGAAGAGCTCGACCTGAATGAGCTGCTTCTGCTCAGACATGCCAGTCAGAAGGAAAGGAGAGAACAGTAAAGTGCCCAGGCTCTGCAGAAGGCTGGATCGGTAATGCAGCATTGTAGATCGGCCCACTGATGAGACAATCTTCCCGCCCTTGGTGTAGCAAGACATCTTGACCATGAACATGCCCAAGTGTTCATTGACAGGGGATTCGGGCATCTCTAACTCTAAAGACACCCGATAAGGCTGACCGTAAGCCATCACTTGGTCCCTCTCGTTCTTCATGAAGGAGATGTTGGCCATGGGGAATGAACAGAGTGCGGACTCCGAGGCATCACAATCTGTAGTGTAGTAGAAGTGCACAGGGGTGGAAAAGCTCACAGTGGGCATGTAGGAGTAGTAGAAGCTTCCATAGAGAAAGATGGACACCCATAGTAGCAGAAACAGGACACAGAAGAGGATGCCAGCCTGCAATAGTGTCCGCCGGGCTTTGAGGAGGGTCACAGCTGCAACATCCTGCATCCAGTGTAGCACCGGTCCCATCGTAGCACCCATCGTGTCTGCTCCGGACCGTTGTTGGCTCCTTGTTTGTGAAGTTGATCGTCCTTCGAGCCCCCTCGACTGCTGCTGCCTCCTTGGTGGGTCTTTATATTCATTCATCGGTGGGCGTCTTCCCTCCGAAACTGTGAAATCGCTTATCTCCAGCCTCCCATGTCTGCTGAAATAACAACACACTCACTCAGCTCAGGTTGAGTTTTTTCTTGTAAAGCTAGATTGCTTTACAAATGTAAATAAGCTAAAGTTACTCGGCAAAAATATCCACGACTCCGAAAGGTGATTTAGTTGGTTTTAATTGTCTCCCAGACTCGTTTGGTGAGTTTCTAAGCTCGTTAGCAACTCAGCTAGCCTTTAAACATAGCTTCTGCTGTACACAAAACATGACCCTACGAACCGGAAGCTGATGTTCTCTTTCTTCTGTGCCTCTCCGGAGCAGCAAGACAGAGCCGCAACACCGACGCCAGGGAAGGGAGCAGACCCAGACTGAGAGACTGCGATGGGTAAGAAAAGTCGCCTCACAGGCGGAGCGGTCGGTCGGAGAACGATCCTTCAGCTTTCACCTCCCGGGCTCCGCGGTGGAGAGAGGGAAGAAGCCCCCTCGGGATCTGATGGTATTCTTTACTGTTACCTCAGTGGCTTGTTAGCGACAGGCTAGCTGAATCCTAAATGCGTGAGGTGTGCAGATAGGGCCCATCTCGTAAAAACGATGTATTCCACTAAATGTAGCTGCCACATTAATAACCTTTCGCGAAAAAAAAGCTATTTTACGAAATATATCTCAATGATAGTCAAATGTTAGCTTATGAAACGAAATAATACATTTTTATTTTAGCTATTGGCTAACATGCTAATAAGTAAGCAAGCTACTTTTTGTGAACATGCCAAAACAGGCCTATGGGAAATCACTGGGCCAGCTTAACCACATGTAATGAAACTCCCTAATTAAAATATACTGACATTTAACTTGCTTTAGTAGTGTGAGTGTGGTGTCTGTATGGGAGAATGGCGTTAGCTTCTAGCTTAACTAGCTCTCTGTAGCAGCTGTTTAGCCCAATGCTAACCTCTGGGCTGACATTTTTGCAGACGAACAGGAGGGTAATGGACTCAGATTCGTGAGAGATAGAATAACAAACATGAAGACTCCCGCAGTAAAGGCCACGGGTAAGAGTAAATGTGTCTATGCGGAGCTGTTTTTCTTTATCGTGCAATGGAAAACGTTTTGATCTGACACAGTTGTTTTGTGTCCACCTGTAGAGGGTTTGTCCTTGCTTGGAGCGTATGATGATAGTGATGAAGAGGATGATGGAGACTCGCAGATTGTTGTGGCGAAGTCAACTGACATCGACAGTACATTGGCTAATTTCATGGCTGTAAGTACAATTTGCATAATATTGTATTGATTTAGAATTAAACAAATAGAAAATATAGTTGTCAGAAATGTAAATTAATGTTTTTCTGATCCCACCACAGGAAATTGATGCAATCACCACCCAGCCAAATTCAGAAGATGCAGCATCTCATCCTTCAGTCCCAACTACCAACCCACCCAGACCTGAGGGTAATGCTCAACAGCCAGCCGCCAGTGGGGAACGGGACCAACAAAGCAAAGAGTTTGAGTATAATACTCAGTGCTCACTTGCTGGAGGTAACTATCTGTTCTTTATTTTGGATCAAGGGTTCAAAGCGTGATATCCCACGTATTGACAAAAGACCCTTTTTAAGTATCTCTGTTGTATAAAACTCTTCTGCCATCTAGTGGTTCTTTTGGTGTAGCCTACAGTTTGTGCCCTAGCTAAATGATTTATCGTCATAACAGTTAAATTGCATTTCACAGTATTGCCTTAGTGTGGTACATCCCCAAAACATATGGTGGATGTATCTGCTTGATACTATGGTATTGGTTTTTAGCAAGATCACCTAAAATATGTCATGATCTTGTTTCAAAGCGTCTAATTTATATGTTTTTTTTTTTGCAGTTGATGTCGAGATGGGAGACTGGCAGGAGGTGTGGGATGAGAACTCTGGCTGCTACTACTACTGGAACACTCTGACCAACGAGGTGTCCTGGGAGCTCCCGAACTATTTAGCTGATCAGATGCAAATCCGCGGGCAGTATGCCAACAGGTAGGAAAAACTGAAAGAGAAGCATTATTATCACAATTTAGTAATAATAAATAAATCCTTCTAGTTACAACATCTTAAGTACAGTTATTTTCACTTTTTTGGATTTGTCTTCAGTACAGCAAGTCAGTGATGTATTTCGTGTATTTCTTTGTAGCTCTAGTCTCAACGGCAATGGCACTGCACATTCAGATCATCACACCAAAGAAAGTGTTGCACCTGCTACAGCCCCGCCATCAGTGAAAGAGACCAAAGTGAAGGCAAGTTTAATTTAAGTGCAACACAAATGTAAATGAGCTTGGCTTATGTCGTGTTTAATACATCATGCTCATATTTCTTTCTTATAGGAGGTAATTGAGAGTGTTGTCGGCCTCACAAGTGAAGAGGAGGACCGCCGTGGAGTCGCTGCATCTCTGCTTGGTCCGCTGATCCCTACTGAAGTGAAAGAAGCAGAGGAGAAATGGAGGAAAATGCTACTTAAAAGCTTGGATGAGCCTGAGGACAGTTTGGATTCTGATGGAGATGGTGTTCGCCCTGCAGGATCCCCCTCCACCCCTCGGTCAGACCCTGACCCAATCCCAACTACCCAGAAAGATCCTTCTACCAAGAAGCAGTCGGGAGAAAACTCTGACGCTGAGGAGGAGACGGAGGAAGACACAATAGAGCTGGAACTGGCTCTGGAGAGGAAAAAGGTGGGTTTTAAAGCAGTATTTGATTACTTGCAGGAATAATTTCAACATATATATATATATATATATTTTTTGTGCAGCAGTGTTTTGACATTGCATTTAACATGTTGTCTGGATCTTAGGCTGAACTCCGGGCGCTGGAGGATGGTGATGGGAGCGCAGGGGGCTCCAGTCCTTCTTCTGAGACGAGCCAAGAACTTGGTTCTCGTGTCCCTTTAGTGAAGAAGAACAGGTGGAAGACTGCCTTCCCCTCTCTTCCCAGCCCGGAATCCAACAGCAGAGGCTCGGACCTACAGGACAACGCAGAGACTGGTGAGAACAAATAAATAGACATCATGCAAGGTGGCGTGCATGACAGACATATTGAAAGAAACATAAATATTGGACTTATTAATTGTTTTTAGACAAAAACTTAAACATCTTTTGTCTCTTTCAGCTATTCCTACGGTCCTAGAGAGCGTTGCAGAAGGAGAAGACAAGGACATTGACAGTTCTGAGGAGAAAACTGTTGCAAAGCCACCGGCTAAAGAAGAGGTGGAAACACCTGAGCTCAAGGTAACCACAATGTTACCATCACTACTCACAATAATATGATATTTCCTTTTTGAGACATGTTTTTAATGATGTCAAAAATGTAGTTTCAGATTGGAGAACTGGCCAACACCTTAACCAGCAAGATGGAGTTCCTTGGGATAAACAAAAAGGCGATTTCAAACTTTCAGTTTCTTCTGCTACAAACTGAGGTGAGAGAACATTTTAAGGCAATACTATCCTGGCCTCCAGTTGATAACCCACATCTAAAATATTTAATGCCAATTTTTTTCACCTTATCATTTAATGATACATCTCGTGTGGTAGTAGTTAATATTTAAAATCCTCATAATAATCTATCACAAGGTGTCATTCTCGAAAATTACTGTAATTACTCTTTCATGTTACCCATCTATCTTGTGGCTTTTCTGTCTCGATGCATCTTTATCCCTTTACTTCTACTTCTTGCGCTCTATCTAACTCTTGTGTCCTGTCCCTCCCCCTTCTCTTTCCCCCCCCCGCAGACTCGGATTGCTGACTGGAGGGAAGGCGCTCTGAACGGGATCTATCTTCGCCGCAGGCTTCAGGAAGCTGCCGAACACATAAAATATTACGAACTTAACGCGACTCCTAAAGGCTGGTCCTGCCACTGGGACAGGTACGCGCTCCTTACCTTTCACATCTCTAAACTCCTTCGTCCCCCAAAAATCTTACCGTGTGACTACACCCTTCTCAGGGCCGAGGTTGCAGACTTTGTTACATGACTTGGGGAGAAGCTTAACCAGTCTCAGAGGATCAGAATACTTGCCAGAAACAGACTCTTCAGGTTTCTGTGATGCAATCCTGGCACATACTGATAAGGGAGCATCCACTCTGGGCCAGACGGCTTCCTGTTAAATATTCCTGCCACAGAGGAAACTCCCTGCCCCCATGACAGACTCTTAAGCCCTTTGTTGTGAGGGCATTTGTAGACTGATTATGGGTCCGGTCAGTGGAAAATATGGGAGGGGGGAATATGGTAGGAAGGTTGGTTGTTTGGGAGAGTTTTGAACTTTACAGGACTACAACCACCAGAATGCAATGCAGCAGAGTGATGCCGTGGAAGCGAGGAGTATCACGCATCAAATAAAAGGTGAAGATGGAGCAATGACGGGATCCAGCAGGTCAGACCTACTCTATTTCATATGTCTTCCTGTTTTTTTTTATATTCTTCTTTCTGATGTTAAACCAGTTGACTGTGCTTGTCATTTTTCTGAACAATGGTTGTTAATGATTCATAATGGTGCTTCCTCCCTGGCGTCTTCCTCTGTCTGGGAGGGAATGGTTGTCTAAAAAATGGAACAAATGTGACAACCATGGTGTGAGCTGCTGAATGCTACTTTCAGGACCTAGAGATGGTTTGAATTGCTTTCTTTGATTTTGAGAGCAAGGTGGGTTCCCTATCCACATCCAAAAGCACTCTCTAATTGGGTTTTTTCGATTTGGACGGCAAAAGTCGCTGTCCTTACCAACACTCCTTCCCTTTATTGTGGCCTTTATGTCCACTCTTGCCCCTCCGTCCCAGGGTATCATGCCAATCAGCCAGTTGCAAGGCCAGTCATTGAAACTCTTGCCTTTTATCTCTCTTGTCCCAATCTTTAGAGAGCACAGGCGGTATTTCTATGTGAACGACCGGACCAATGCCTCCCAGTGGGACTTCCCGAAAGAGGAGGACAAGGAGGAGGATCTGAAAGATACCCAGACACAGACATCCAGTCAAGGGGACAGCAAAACATCCTCTGCATCTGCTGGTGGGGTCACAGGTCAGTCTATTACTACTCCTGCTCCTCCAAAGACCTGGGGCCTCATTTATAAAGCCTTGCGTAGGATTGGCGTGGGAAGGTTGCTTACGTAGGACAAAGCAAATACGCACCGACACTTTCCGATTCATAAAAGACTGCGTACGGCACATCTTATGCCGGTTTCCCTTTTTATAAATCACAATCAACTCGAAATGCGGCGCAGCTTTTGCGGGATTCACGTAACGCCCATATTTACCTATAAATAGTCAAAGAAACGTCCATTCATTCATTTTGACTGACTGCATGAAGAAGATCGCAGGAAAAGACGACGGAACAGCTGAAAAATACATTTCACACCGTGTCAGATTTTGGTTATTTTGGGGAGGTCGAGATAAATCATATTGTTTGGTGGATGCAGTTTAAACCAGAGTAGCAGCATGAGAAACTGTAAGAAATGATCGGGGAATCCCTCCGGAGTGGAGTCATGACGACTGGATCTGAATTATGTTTTTGTATTTGATGGTTTGTGTCCCAGCTGTCGATCAGCAACTATATATCCATAATCCACCAGTTAAAGGAAATACAGCTTATGTGTTTTTGTTATATTAGCTGTACAATTTACCACATATGGTGTTCTTAGTTTCCATACCTCCTGTGTTTTACGAGCGACTTATCAAGTAGGCGGCGAACGGCATAAAACATGATTTAAACGTGATGGTATATAAAACCATGCTCGTATCTATACAACAACAACCTATAGAAAGGGCGTCAGTTTAAAGTAATTCTGTCCTTCTGTTTACCGCATCATTTATGAGAATACATTTCTTAACTAGAGAACATCATCGAGGGGTGATCAATAACATTTCCGTATATTTATTTCTCCAAGTTATGTTTTTGTGTGCACTGAGGAGTCTCATTAAATCATTTTAAGATTGGCTTTAATCAATGTTTGAAAATGAATTCTTCATATATGATAAATGAGAGGTAACATTTTTTTTATGGTATTATTTCCACATATTTATCTCCATTCTTCCTTCTGCCAACGGTGTCGCAGTTGCTCGTCTCTCCCGTTGTTGTGCTTAGTGCGTACGCATGGGTCAGAGTTTGCGTGGTGGGCCGCACATTTTCCCGTCAAGTTAGGTTTTTATAAATCGCAAACAGTGCGTAGAAACTGGCGTACGCCATCTTTTGTGCGTACGCACCGTTAATTAATGAGGCCCCAGCAAATTGACTAAGATATATAAAATGTATATTATTGCTCCTTTTTTCCAAGTTTGTTTCCTAATAAATATATGCATGGGAGTGAATATTGTATTGATGAATTAAGTGCATATCATGTGACTAAATGCTATTCTAACAATATAATGGATACAAGTATAAATATATATTTGTATTATTTGGAGGGGTAATCTTTGGTATGATAATAAGTTCAGTTTTTATCTTTCTTTTTTTAAATATCCAGGATCTTGTACCTCTCCCTCCACCGCCCCACCAGATCCTCCTCAGCCCGGTGACACATCCCTCGCTCCCCCATCTCAACCTCCGCTTCCTGACAGCCCACCACCTCCACCTTCCAGTCAGCCTCCGCCCCCCCCCCTCCCCCCAGGCTCACCGCCTCCACCCCCTCCCCCTCCTGACAGCGATGAAGAGATCATGGAGGTGGAGATGGAAATGGATGACGATGATGACGGGGAGCCGCCAGCCCCCGGAACGGAGCTAGATGGCAGCGGCAGGCCTCCTTTACCTCCAGGCACTGCCAGCATGAAGGTACGGGAGTAATCAAGTTTCTTCTTTAGTTGGTGAACTCTTGGTAATGTTCACCTACAAAATTCTAATAAAGAGGACATCCTTTTTTAACTCTTATATTTCTTGTCACACAGATTCTGGAGTCGTCTGGGCCCTATGGGAAGGGTCAGAAACGTAAAGCCGGTCAGATGAATAAAGCCATCACTATTGGCAGCAATGCTATCCTCTACACTCAACCTGCCTTCAGTGCAGGTAAAACATATCCCTACTAACCATCTGCAGTTACAGTTTGTGTGAATCATAATGGCACAAATAACCGTGTGCCTAAACAGCATTATTACTCATCCCCTGAAACAAGACTAGAGTCCAATCTCATTGTCTTTAACCCTTTGTATATCTGTCACTTGTTAAAACTTTGGAGCTCTTACCATTTTCTTGTTTGTATATATAAATAGTAGATATTTTTGTCATGTTTTTATTTTTCTTAATATGCGATTCAACAATACATCTAGCAAACAACTTGAGGGGAAAGCTTCTTGGTAATAAACTAGGTTTATAATTCTGTTTTGTCATACTTTCTTTTTGTGAGCACAACAGTATCACACCTCAATAAGTCAGTGTTTAAATTCAAAGTGTAATTGCAATACTTTCAGGTGTTTACTTAATAAAGGTTTCTCTTTTTCTGCAGCCCCTCTAATGTCCGCTGCTGCCTACTGGGGCGTACCGGCTGTCCCTGCTCCATTGGTCCCTTGTGAACCTCCGGCCCCCCCCCTCCCTGCTCTACCTCCTCAGCCCCCACTGCCCCCCTCCCAGCCGCCCTCTGAACCTCCTGCAGCCAAAGCTCTGCCCACAGACAAGACCAAGAAAGTGAAAAAGGAAAAGGTTAGTATTGCAGTTAACATTTTACATGGAGGGCAGTAAATACAATTCCCCAATATTTTGAGGATTATTTTGTTCTATTGTTAACATTCTGTATTGGTTTTCTTTGCATGTAAAGTTTACACATGCAAGCCATCCTTTCAATCCATTGCTTAAATATTACATACAAAACAAACAATTCTGTTATTTTTCTTACTATCTATAGACAAAAAAGAGTAAGATCAAAATGCCATCTCTGGTGAAGAAGTGGCAGAGCATCCAGAAAGAGTTGGATGAAGAAGAAAAGAGTAGCTCCAGTGACGAGGACAGAGATCAGCTGAACAAAAGGGGTATCGAGGACTGGAAGGTCCAGCAGCTCATGACGTAAGTTTATGTTTTAAATATACTTTTTTTTATAGTTGTGAAGATGTGGTTGAACTGTTCTATTGAGTTCTCCTTGTTTCTTTTGATATTTGACATGTTTCATCTTACTAACTCTTCATTACCTGTGTTAATCCTACAGGGGAAAAGCTTCTAAGAATGCCAACTTTGAGTCACTTCCAGATAACTGGCGCGACCGACTAAAGAAACGGAAGACGACGAATAAGACGTAACACCCACACTGGGTCATACACTGCCCATTCAGCCTTTCTCTTCTTTCTTTTTTTGTTTATCCACTACAACCATTACTTAAAAGTCATTCTACCCCATATTATGTTTTGTGAAATGATCTAGTGACTTTCTTCATCATTTGTTCTTGTTTATGATGGAGACATTTAGAGGCCATTCTCCAGAGGGGTTTGAATGTCTTTGTCTTGGTTTGTAGTCACTATTGTAAACGTGCCAAAAGTTTTGAGTCCATCGGAAACAATTTTTTGTATAGAACCCACAAAGATGACCGCAGTTTTTTTTGGAAGGATTGTCTATTTTATTGAGCATTTTTACAACTCTGTACATATGTATTATGGGAGAAGCCATGTTTTTGGAAGGGCAGGAGGGGTCACTGAACTTGTACATTTTGTAAAAAGTTAATAAACTGTTTTTCCAAAGCCAGTTATTTTTCTTTGGCTTTCATGCGTTTTTATTTTATTTTATTCCAACTAGTTATTTTTTCATACTTTGTTTTTTAAAGTCCTGAATAAAAATGAATAGAACAATTGTGAATAACCTACATGGCGTTAATTCATCTCTTATAATAAACAGGATAACACGGTTTTCCTGCACCATAATACACTTCCGTCCATAGAGAGATATACATTTTGAGGATTTGTAAGGAATAGTTTCCGACCCATTGATTTGCGCCACTGCTTCTCGTCTCCATGGCAACAGCGGTGTTGTTGAGAGGACCTGTTGCATGGAAACATTGCGCAATTCTGGAAAGAGGCTTCCACTCCTGCTAGCCGCTATGCTTTCGCTCTTATCTTGTGTCTATAAAAGGAAGTTAAGCTTGTGTATTTGAAATGTAAGCTAGGTAAGTGTCTGCCACTCATTGATAACATGTCAGAGAGCTGAGATATGCTATCTATTGTTAATTGACGTAGCTAAGGAAAATGTTAGCAACTACAAAACAATGTTTGCGCGCGTGTCATTCATGAGTGCGTAAGTGACGACCAAGCTGCATCTGTAGTTAACATGCGGAATTCATGCATACAAAAAACAGAAAGTAAGGTATTAGCGTTAACGCCATGTAACGGGATAAGGAAGACTTTTATTCCGGCATTTTACTTAGAGAAGAAAGGCAACAGACGATGTGAGAAATCCACTCAGCATCTCTCATGTGAGTTTGGTATCTCCGTGAATTCGCTCAGAAAAAGTTATGCTATTAAACAATTTTACACGTGCTTGCTGAAGTTATAGCCTACTATACAGGGATTTATACGGTATGAACACATGTTTAATAGTTCAACTTCAGGAACTCTTCCATATTTTAACATTACTAAGTGGTAATTTAGCAACACATCCATCCTATTATTAGTTGGTGGATGTGTTGTCAAATTGTGACCTACATTTAGTAGGCTTCTAAAGTTTTTACATCATAAGATGTCTGAAAAGCTTAATATCATGGATTTCTAGCATTTGTAAGAAGACTAAAATGTGTTGTAGCTGATATTCTATGACAAAATGCCATTTTGGCATTGGCTTCAAAACATCTCTATTGGTTCATGATAATATAATTCATATTTTTAATATCTATCTATCTCACACAGAGGAGATTGACAATAGTCGATTTTGATCCTGACAAGCCTGTTTCGATGTAGTGGCCAGGACAATGTGTTCTTACTCAGTTTGGTAATTAATACATAGAACATTCATGACTTACATTTTTTCAATCTGGCAGAGAAAAGACCAACCATGGCCGTCTCTGCCATCAGGAATTGGTGGAATACCCACCAGTTGGACAAATCTGACACCAATGACTCCAACACAGAAGAAGACGAGGAGGAATTAGCAGGGAGGAGGCAGTGTAAGTTATTTTCATAAACGCTGCATTTGGATACATGCTATGTGCACTGGGTTTTCCTGTTAGAAAGGAGGTGTTGTCAAACTTGTATTTGTTGCATCCCTTCCCCAAGGCTAGACCATTATATATTAAACAAGCTCTTTCACGACTTGAGATAATGAAAGCATTCAGGTGGAGCATAATCCCTTCTTAAATGAACAAGCTTGTGTGGTCTAGGTGAGGTAAGGACCCATAGGGGCAGACCTAATGAAAAATGTATACCCATAGTGCACCACTGGCAGAGAATGAGTGGAAAGACAAGTGAATTGAAGGTGTGATTCATGTCTCCTCTCAGTAACTATAAACTTAAGTCAGACTCTGCGGACCAGACAGCTGCTCGTAGACTTTGATGGCGGCCGGCCTGTTTTGAGTCTCAGGGCACCGCTGGACCTGGTTAGCTTCCCATCCATCTCCTGCCCCCGGTGGCCCATAGAGTGTGAGGTCATCAGTGACATCATCCAACACATAGGTAATACAACATTTTATTGAAACCATTATGTTGCTAGGCATGTTACATTGATAGAATGTAACCCGGACTATTTAGCCAACCAAAATGTCAAGGTAAGGGTACTTGAAGGGGGGTTTCACATTTCATTGTATGCAACTTAATACCACCACTACATCTCTAAGTCCAATGTGTCCATGTCCTTTTTACGCTGCGATATTTTTGCACAGCTTTAGTTACTTTTCATATTACATTTTCCATTCCCTCCCTGTCCAGGGAAACCCATCCATTCCCAATTTGGTGATTAAGAATCTGAATGTTTCGGATAAACTGAAGGACTTTTAATAATAAGCCGTAATACACTGAACAAAAATATAAATGCAACAATTTAGTTTTTGCTCCCATTTTTCATGAGCTGAACTCAAAGATCTAAAACATTGTAATGTTAAGGGTAATGTTGTAAATCGAGTGGCCTGTGTTCGTCGTCCATAACATACGCCTGCCCATAACCCAGTGGTTCTCAAACTTTTTCTGTCAGGCCCCCCCTTTGGAGAAAAAAAAAAGTCGGGCCCCCCCAACACAAATAGTCAGGCTCAGTGGCGGCGCCAGAGATTCTATTTTGGGGGTGCTGTGGGGTAGCTTGACGTTTCATAGAGGGTGCTCAAACATTTAGGGTTTCCCATTAATGTACTGGTCGCTACAGTGGAATGTTCTACTGTAACAATCCCCACACACACACACACAGTGTACCCGCGACTGTTACAATGAAGGCTCGATAATCAGCTCACGGCATATAGGTGTAAGCAGGGGTAAAGTGTTATTTTTATAGGTGGTGTGTGGACCTCACATGGGGAGGTCAGGGGGCAAGCTCCCCTGGGAAGATTTTTAAATATTGAAGTTAAAAGCATCAATCTGGTGCACTTTGAGAGCAACATGAAGAGATCTATGGATACATCTCTCAACACCCATTTGAAACAGAACTGTAAACAGATTTACTTTTTCTTTATGGATATTTTACAAATCACTCCCTTTTTAACGTTATTCTTTTTTTAATGTCATATAGTATTTCATACCTGTTTTTAATTTATTCTCTTATTTTTTTATAACTATAATGATCATATAAACGTGGGGCCTCGGAGGGCATGGCGCTCTAGCAAACGAACAATCGAAGACCACGATCGCTGATGGCGATGTGCCGTATAATTCTCGAAAACAGTTGTTGTTCACCTCCTCTCTAAGGAGGAGCAGTCTGGACTCGTCTGAGCTGCACTCGGATTCCTGAGAGGGTACGACATAGGTCACCCAGAGTCTTGCAAAACCAGTGGTAATTACATTTTTGTTAATAAAGGCTCCC